ACTCTTTTTGACTTTACACAAAGATTTTTATTATTAATATATAATAAGTATTAATAAAACAAATCAATAGCCAACACCACCATTAACTAAGCACTCATGGAATGTTTGATACACTAGCACTAGATTCCACATAACATTCTGTCAGAACAAGAGACCAACTTCACAGCAAAGGAGGTATTGGAACAGGCCCATAACCATGGGATCCACAAGTTACATCATATACTGCACCAGCCTGAAAGACTATTGGAACAGTCCACAGAAAGAACAGTTCAAGGGCTAGGTAGGATGCAACTCTTTATGAGGACAGGGCATCCATCATTGAAGAGGACACAGTAACTCTTTGAATCCAAAAGCTTTGTATGTTGCATTAGTCTGGGAACCAACAAGTGCAAGCAAGAGCGGCCCACTACCAACGTTCCCAACAACCCACAGGAGAAATCTGTGATTCCCGTCCCTCCTCCTCCACCTCTAGGTTCTTCAGGTTTAGAGGGGTTGGTACACAAAAACAAAAAAGTTTCACTAGAGAAAATAGCAAGAGTCCTACTGAATTACAGATGTTCCTTGACTTACGACAGGGTTATATCCTGATAAACCCATTATAAGTAAAAAATATCTTAAATCAAAAATGCATTTAATACCCTGAATAAACCAATTACCAAGCCAAAAAACTGTAAAATCTTAAATTGAATCATCATAAGTTCAGATGCTCCTCGACTTACAATAGGATTATATCCCAATAAATCCAATGTAAAATCAAATCATCTTAAGTCCAGGATGATTTGTATAAGTCACTTCTGTTGCATCGGCACTTTAGGTTCCCTATGCCAATGAATCAGCTGGCAGGAAAAAGAGTCACCATTCTAGCACAGATGTGTCATCCTAACCTCTGAATTCACCAGACCACATCATATATAGCATGATCCTTAAATATCTGTCAACAACTGGTATGTGAATTTTCTTTTTCTTTGTTTTGTTTCTGCTGTGCTAAGTCATGTGAATTTTCTACCAAAGTCCTCCTTCTCCTAAATCCTATACACTTAGGCTTGAAAAGACGACAAATAAAAATAACTTCATTTATTAAGCACTTGTTAAATCCTAGCTAGGTGCTATGCTACAACAAATACACACATGCTTTTTAATAAAATGTGATGCTAATGCAAAGCCAGGAATAAAGGTAAGAAACAATGAAAAATGTGGTAGACTTTTTAGGAATACATCTACTTTTTAAACTACTTACATTAAAATCTTAGATTAAAAAAGACAAATCTCTAAAACTTAGGATATTCACATTGCTTTTACTTCCATAAAGGTACATATGTATATAACCAAATGATTTCTAGAAAGAAAAACAATTTACCTTTGAATTTCCTCTGGAAAAGTTGCACTGAACATAAGGGTTTGACGCTCTTCCTTTGATGGCATTCCTGGGCAAGAAATTAATTTCTTCATTTCTGGTCCAAAACCCATATCCAACATGCGATCAGCTTCATCCAAAACTAAATATTTGATTTGTCTCAGACCAATCTTTAAGGATATTTTCAAGGGTAAGAACAGAAAATGCATACTAGTTTATATCAAACTAAAATACTCCCCACGATTCCAATTATTGTAATATTCTTAAAAACAAAGACTAGAAATCAATGCATAAAATGGTGAGAATCGTTATGCTTAGACAATACTATTACTGTTT